GAGGCTCGTCGCAACGGTTGATATCAAATATACTCAATTCTCCAATATTGCATCCACTGTAACGAATGCGAGAGAATTGTCGAATGCGATACGCGCTAGCAATGCCTTCAACATGCACCAACTTGTCGATTGCGAGCTGGTGGCTTTAGTTTTTAATATGTAATAAAACTTTATATATAATTATGTATTAAATATAAGACAAATAAATACTTATATGTATATATCATGGTGTACTTTATTTGCGCGCCACCCGTTACATACTTTGCGAGAGAGCAACCACTAGAAAAGAAAGAGACAGCGCGCGAAAAAAAATCGATATTATTATCTTATGAGATAAGACATCCATGCTGCGGCAGAATCGATAATTTTATCTTACGAGGCGCACGCGACATTAAGAGTAAGAGAGACGCACGCATTTCGAGAGAGAAGACGGGTATCCAAGCCTGGATTTAGCGGCGATATACGCGCTCTCCCGTCGGAGCGAGAGAGAGAGGTAGCGCGCGGCGGTATACGCGCTCTCCCGTCGGAGCGAGAGAGAGGTAGCGCGCGGCGGTATACGCGCTCTCCCGTCGGAACGAGAGAGAGGCAACGCGCGGCTCGCGGCGAGAGCGAGATCCAAGCCTAGATTTTGTGGTGAGAGCGATGCTGTGGCGAGAGAGTCGGTAGCTCGCGTCGAGAGAGAGATCCAAGTCTGGATTTTGCGGGAGAGGGATGCTGTGGCGAGAGGAGGAAAAACATTTTTTTATTTTAATAAAATGTATATTTTATTCAATATTTTTTTTCTTTGTACATTATTATTTTTTTCTTTGTACATTATTTTTTTCTTTGTACATTATTATTTTTTACCCCGATCATTCCTTTGTTCTTCAACGTATGATGCAATTATCTCCGAAAGATTTGCTATTATCTCCGAAAGATGATCTTCGTCGAAACAAAAAATAGCGGCTGTTGTCTATCGACATGTTTACACCTTCCGCGAAGACATATCTACTCTCTCAGAACACGTTGATATCACATATGTTGTACACCTATTTAATCAGACAAATAAATAGGCTGCAACAAGTAATCTGACGATGATGATGATGACGACAATGGTGATGGTCTCGGTTCTCTCCTATCTGACTCCTCTATTTCTTGTCCGAATCATAATTAGATGATTGTGTTTTGCATGATACCGATGGTAAAGGCATATCCATGTCGGCAAAATAAAGGTTGTTCACAGTGAAATATTCTGCACAATTTTTGTAGCGACGCTGATAACATGCGACTCGCTTGTGTCGTTTAGACGATCTGGTGCATTTGGATAATCCACCAGTCACTCTTAAAATGTCTTCGTGCGTTTCCAGGAAATAGGCAACATCTCTTGTATGCGGTTTTTGCACACCAAGTTCGCGATTTCTTACGAATTGCACAACCGAAGTCACCGCTTCACGTTTAAAATGAAACGGGTCATCTTTTTTTTCATCATAATAACATTCATCGAGATGTCTATACCATCTCTCAACATTCTCAAAACACCTCAAATGATCTTTTACCGCGTTCTCCATTTTTTATGTCTGGCACTTATTCGCACTTTTAACCTCAGCCTATTTTCGCTGACATTCGCTGCAATCCCTGATCATCGGTGCTGGACCGTCAATATGCGTTCGCATCCACGGCCGATTGTAGTGTTCGAGGCAGCGACGATATGTCTGAACCTCCGGATCCGTCTTGATATGCTCCGGAAGCTTGTCCCACAAATGCTCTACGAAATATCCGCACTTTTGCAGTAAAACAATCTTCGGAATATATTGTAACTGTTCGGCACTTAAACTGAGAATGTCGGAAGCACTTGATAGTATTACAAACATTCTGCACCCCGAATGAAGAGAGCGTGCGCTCGCCAGTGGTACTATGACCCGGCAGCTGCATCGGCCCTCATTATATATCCCGATCATCCCTTTGTTCGTGGGATGATGATGCAATTGTTAATTCGCAAGAAATATTTGTGCGATATCTACCCGCTGGTAATTCTTAGAAATACATAGATAAGGCCGTCCGTTACCTTCCTGGTGTAAATTTTACCCCGTCGGATCCAAGCTTTTTTTTTTTTTTATAGTGAGGAAATTTGCTTTAACCAACAAATCGTACCGACTGGGCCCTGAGGGAGGGCGCAGAAGGCGTGTGGGGGATTCTCCACCTCTGAAGGAGGTGGCCTGACCCAAACCTAAAACCTCACTGAAACCCTTGCCTTGACGGGTATTGTTCACCGGGAACCGCTTTCGCATAAACTTCCAGTGGACACCCTCGGCCATGACCCCTTTCGGGGCTCTTCCCCCTGGAAGAAGGTGGTGTTTCTTCCAGGAAATACTCTTCCCGCGCCACTCTCCCTACCTGGGAGAGGGCAGCAAGAGGGAGCCGGGTTCCGAACCCCCTCTCTTCGTCCCAGGGACAGCGTGCAATGGGATTGGAGCCCTCACTCCTCACCCGTGCCGTCCCCGACGGAAGCGGTAAAAACCGCCCGAACATTAACCACAAGACGTCACAGGACGTCACCAACTATACATGGACAAAACATATACACGTCCACAAACTGAAAACCAAATAAAGGCCACAGGCCCAGCCCTCGAAGGGCCAACATAAAAGGCCCAATGGCCAACCACAATAAAGGTGGGAGAGGATAATACTCCCACCTGTGAACGAAGGACAACAACGAAACTAAAACAAACATGAACTTGGCGCGGGTGAAAGAGACCGCGGAGTCACCTCTCGGCAAACCCCCCGGTGCTCAAACACCCATCGCCGCTACCAACTACTACATGAACTTGGCGGGGCAGAGAGACCACGGAGTCACCTTTCGGCAACCTCCCCGGAACTCCCCGCACCCACCGCTGCACACTACGACAGAAGGACAAAAACGACACTAGACGTTGGGAGCAGAGCTGCAGCCCGGCACAGGGGAGCCACCTCTCCGTGACCTCCCCCGCCCCCGACTGCAGTCTACTCCCACCCACTCAGGGCTATCGGGAGCCCCCCCAGCAGGGGGACCCGGAGCCCGCGCGCGCGCCGAGGCAGCCTCGGTCTCCATAGGCCGTCCCCCATCAGGACAACCCGGAGGCCGGCGCCTGTCTATCGTCCCGGTGTTGCGTTGCCCGGGCGGAGGGGGGAGCGAAACGCACCCTTGCCCACCCAGGACATGGTCAGCCGACCTCCCGCCGTCCGCACAAGTCGGACAGCGAGGGGTGGCGACACACCCCGCCGCTTGGTGTCCCTCCACACCACAGCGGTAACACAACCGCGAGCGGTCCACCCGAGACGAGCAGCTCACCCGCGCATGCCCCAACTCGAGGCATCTGAAACACCTCAAGGGGCGGGCGCTAAGCAGCTCCACCCCCAGGGTGTTCCATCCTACTTTTACGCTACCCGCCAGCAAGGCTTTACGACCAATTGCCACCGGGCAGCGCACCCATACGGTGCTCCAAGGGGACCGCGGCAGAGGCCGGATCAAACCAATCCGGAAATCCCCCGCGCTGCATCCCCCCAGAGACACCAACGCCTCTAATATTTCTTCGCGCGTGGTGATCCCCTCCCCCATAGTCCCACGGAGCCTAAGCTCCGTGGTTTTCTGGGGACGGGAGACCACCACGTCCTTCTCCGAAAAGACCTCTCGCAGCTTACCTGCAAGTAAGTCGGCCTTTTCCACCGTGCCTTTTCCAGGGACCTGCAGAAGTAGACCCCCAGTCACACCAAAACGCATTGACATCGGGCCAATGCCCAACTTCTCAGGGTCGACGCGCGACTTCGCCTCCCTCAAAATGTCCGAGTAGGACCTGCCTCCCGTCGAAACGAGCTGCACCGCCGACGTACTCGGAACGCGTGCAGCCCGCGCTAAACGGCCCCGCCGAACATCCGGTCCGGAACCAGTAGGGTCGGACACACAAACCCCCCCAGGACCCGGGCCCCCCACCCCCCCGGCAGCCGAAACAGCCACCGACGGGGACGAAGACGTCGGATCCAAGCCTGGATTGACACGTCAGATCCTTTTTTTTTTTTTTAAGTCAGGAAATTTGCCAACCAAACTTCGCGTCCTGACCCTTGAGGGAGGGCCAGGAGGCTTCGTGGCGGATTCCCGCCCGTAGTATAGGACTATCGGACGGGGTACCAGCCTAAAACCTGACTATAGCCCCTGGTCGTTGACGGGTATTGTCCACCGCGGAACCGCTAACGCATTACTTCACGGTGGACACCCATGACCTGGTCCTGTTAAGGACACATTCCCGGGCAACTGGAAGAGTTGACCCGTCCAATACCCTCACCCCGAGAGGGTAAATAGGGGGGAGCCGGGCTATCAGCTCACCCCCGGCCATCCCGAGGCCGACGTGCAATGAGATTGGAGCCCCCACTCCTTTCCCTGCCAGTCTGGTTGGCGAGATGACCGCAGTCATCTAACCCCACATAAATTGACATCATAGGACGTCACCAACTACACGTGGACAAACATGTATACGCATATATACACAATCCACAAACAGACCAAGTAAGGGCCACAGGCCCAGCCCGCTAGGGGCCACATCGGAGGCACAATGGCCGACCACAAGTAAAGGGTGGTGAGAGATGTTCACACCACCCATTGACGCAAGACAAAGAACTAAGACAAACATAAACCTGGCACGGACCAAGAGGCCGCGGAGTCACCTTTCGGCAACCTCCCCGACACTCCAAACCCATCGCCGCTACCTACTAACAGAGACAACCAAGAACAGAGGGCGTAACCGAGCCAAAGGTCCCCATTTTACTGGGGAACAGCATGGCCGCAGCTCACATAACAACATTAGACAATCACGAATCAGACATTAACTCCGTCGGGGCGCAAGAGGAAGCCACAGACGCGCCTCTCGAGGCACTCCGCCGCTCCACCCCAACCCCCGAGGGGCCCGGTGTTGGGCTAATAGTCTCACCCCGAAACCCTCCGTCAGGACGCCCAGACGTCTGCCTGCGTCTCGAGGGAACGCCTTCCCCACCTACATCCGTCCTACGAGGGGGCACCAGTTTCCTAGCACAGGCGTTTGAGCCTGCACGGTGGTCCGCACGCCTACCATCGGTCTCGCAAGACACACAGCGGAGCGGCGCCTCACACCTAGCCGCCTGATGTCCCTCCTTTCCACACCTGAAGCAGCGTTGCTGCGAACAACCTCGGAGCCACACCTATTGAACGAATGTCCAAAGGCATGGCACCTGTAGCATTGTATGGGCCGACGAGCCAACGCAGTGATCGTCAGCCTCGTCCACCGCATATCAATGCTACCCAATATTCCCAATCTGCGCGCAGCCCCCACCGGACAACGGATCCACAGGGATCCAACCCTGGATTTGGGACACATACGGATCTCTCCCGCCTTTAAATCCGCAACGCCGCATCCGCCCGACACTGCCACGGAAGCCAAGATCTCCTCTCTCCTCATGAAGGCCAGTATTCCCCGAACACGTAACTCCTCCATGCGGGAGGGGCGGCCAACCCTCACATCACCATCAGACGAGAACAGTCTGCGGAGCTCGCCCGACAATGCATCCGCCTTACTCGCAGAGTCCTTACCCGGGATAGACACTAGAATGCTACCCGTCACTCCTCGGCGCAATCGGGAGTTTGCGATCCCCAAACTGGGCAGATCGATCTCCCTCATAGCCTTAGAGAGAACCGACGCATACGTTTCCTTCTTCCCCTCCCCCGTCAGCGAAACCACCGACTTAGAAGGGGACCTGGGAGGAGGACAGACCCGCTTCTCCTTCTTGGCGGAAGTGCCCGAAGGAGCAGCCTCATCTTTAGAGGAGGCTCGTCTAGGCCCACGCCTACGACGTCGCCTCCCACCCTTTTTGGAGGGCCCGGGGCCAGGGACATCCGCCGGAACCTCCGCAGATGCGGAAGCGGCGGAGCCCCCAGCCACGGGACCAGACCCCGGAACACGAGCTCCACCACCTGTGCTCGTTGAGGGCGCACTCATGGGAACCCCTCCAGTTGGAGAGGACCCAGACCGCCCCGCAAGCAAGGGCCGCAAACCGCCGATGCAACGTCGACCCTAATGTCGGCAAGCCTCCTGTCGAGGATAGCCGAGAGGTCCGCAACCGTAAGAGGGTGCGACCCCGGTAGCACCTCCTCTCGCTCTGTCTCGTCCTTTGTGGATTCCGGAGAGGCTTCCACACGCCGTCTCTTCTTCGGGGCCTTCTTCAGAATTCCGTAGAAGGCCGCATCCTCCAGCTGCGGCATGACAGCTCGGACGGCAGCCATCTCGCCAGCCACCCTGTCACGATCCCGCTCGAGAGCCGAAATCCTCTCCCTAAGCCCCAGATTTTTGCTCCGGAGAGCTTCAATCTGGGGGTCAGCCTCGAGGACAATACGCCCCTCCATCTCGTGAAAGATGCTCCCCAGTCTCATCGAAGAGATCCGTAGATCCCTGGCCACGATTGGATCGAGACCAGAAACCTCGGCCGCCTTCTCCACTTGGGAAGCAGACACCTCCACCAACCTGCTGAGTTCCAGGTTGGTGACATTCCGCAGGCTAGCCCGGAAAGCCTCGCCTGACGGAATGTTCTCCGAACCCACCGCAGACAACTCAGGTCCAAAATTGGGGTCCAGGAGCCTGCGGATGTCCGCCAATTGGAGCTCTCGTTCAGTAGCCTGATTGAGACGCTCCTTGGCCTCAGCCAAACCAACATAGTCCCCGGTCTTTTTGGGACGACCCCGCGTTTCTTTTTTTGCTTTGGACGTACCTGGTTCAGACCTGGAGTACTGCTTTCGTCCGATCAGCAGCCTCCTGTCTGAGGGCTGCCACTCCACGTCCATCACGTCCTCAGCTGAAGAAGGAGACGAGATGGAGAGGACAGAGGGTCTTGCAGCCTGCTGGTCCTCATCTCCACTGGCCCCACGCACCATCTCCGGCGACCGAAGATGCTGTGAGCAGTCACTCTCGGAACCCACTGGCGTACACACTAAAGAACCCGACGCACATTTAGCGTCTGTCAGGTCCATAGCGTCCACACACACGTGGGACACGCAGTACCGGGTCTGACCGCGAGAACACCTGTTGAAAAACTCCCTGATATGCATCGCCAATCTGCGATACATACCAAGAGAGCAAAAACACGCACTTCGTCGTCCCGAAGGACTCGGTAAAAGCACAACGCGAGTTCCTTCGGATCAACACTTAAGTCACGTTCCTCCCAATAAGTCACTAGGTCAATCAGTTGTAATTCGACCTCGTTGATTACACTTCTCGGCACTGTAGCGAACAAATCCCTGAGTCCAGCCGGCAAACTCAGGGACAACCCGTTACTCGATGACGACGAGGGGAGAGCCAGGCCTACACCCCCCCCACGCCGGTTCCTAGTTACCGACCCTAGGACAATCTCTTCTTTTTCGGACGTCATCATAACTGAAAAAGAAATTGGTTTTTTCTGTCAGGGGTTTTCCTTCCCCTTAGGAGGTTGCCTTACACAGCTAACGGGGCCTCCCCTCCGGGTGTTAAGTCAGTGTTTTCCTTCACCTAGTGCAGTGGACAAGTCCTTTTTAGGGCCTGCACGCCCATCACACCCCGTTCATCCATCACCAGATACTCCAGCTCGGGTACCTCGGGATTGCGACACCCGTACACTACGGGGATGAGTCCGTAGTGCCCCTGAGGGATTGACACGTCAGATCTTTTTTTTTTTTTTTTTTAAGTCAGGAAATTTGCCAACCAAACTTCGCGTCCTGACCCTTGAGGGAGGGCCAGGAGGCTTCTTGGCGGATTCCCGCCCATAGTATCCCGAAGGACTATTGGACGGGGTACCAGCCTAAAACCTGATTATAGCCCCTGGTCGTTAACGGGTATTGTCCACCGCGGAACCGCTAACGCATTACTTCACGGTGGACACCCATGACCTGGTCCTGTTAAGGACACATCCCCGGGCAACTGGAAGAGTTGACCCGTCCAATGCTCTCACCCCGAGAGGGTAAAGAGGAGTGAGCCGGGCTATCAGCCCACTCCCGACCATCCCGTGGTCGACGTGCAATGGAATTGGAGCCCCCACTTTTCTTCCTGCCGACCAGGGTGGCGAGATGACCGCAGTCATCCACCCAACATGAATTGACGTCACAGGACATCACAAACTCGACGTGTACATATACACAACCACAATGAAAACCAACTAGTGGCCACAGGCCCAGCTCCTAAAGAGCCCACATTGAGGCACAAAGGCCATCCACAGTAAAGGCACTATGGCCGACGACAAATAGAGGGGGGTGGACAGATGGACGTCCACCTCACATGTATACAAATACACAACACAGACATTTACTTGGCGGGAGCGAGGAGGCCACGGAGGCGCCTCTCGGCAACCTCCCCGGAACCCCCCGCAGCCCACCGCTACCTACTAAACATAAAAACGGACTAAGGACAGAGGGCGTAACCGGGCCAAAGGTCCCCATTTTACTGGGGAGCAGTAAGGCCGCAGCCCTCATAACAATATTAGACAAAGTACTAATCCGACATTAACTCCGTCGGGGCACAGGAGGATGCAACAGACGCACCCCTCGACACACTCTGTCGCCCCCCCGCAATCCCCGACGGACCCGCTACTGGGCTGGGGACCCTCTCCTCAGTCCCCCCGTCAGGGCGCCCTGGAGTCTGCCTTCGCCCAGAGGGAACAGACTCCCTGCCGCCGACCAATCTGCGAGGAGGCACGCACCTCCTCGCGCACACACTTGAACCCGCGCGATGGTTCGCCGGCTTCCCGCTGATGCTGCAGGGCACACAGTGAGGCGGCGCTTCGCATTTCGCTGCCGAATGCCCCTCCTTTCCACACCTAAAGCAGCAAGCACTGCGATCGATCTCCGAGCCACACCTATTAGACGAATGTCCAAAGGCATGGCACCGGAAGCACTGTATAGGCCGGCGAGCCAACGGAGTCACCGTCAGCCTAGTCCATTGCATGTCAATGCTGCTCACAGTACCCAACTTGCGTGCAGCCCTAGCCGGACATCGAATCCATAACGACCCGATCCCGGACTTTGGGGACACACGTATCTCCCCCGCTTTCAAATCGGCGACGTCACACTCGCCCGATGCCGCCACGGAGGCCAAAACCTCATCCTTCCGCATGTAAGGCAAGATCCCCCGAACTCGTATCTTCTCCATACGAGAGGGGCGACCAACCCTAACACCACTATCAGGCGGAAATAATCTGCGGAGCTCACTCGACAGAGCGTCCGCCCTACTAGCGGAGTCCTTCCCAGGGATGAAGACCAAGATGCTGCCAGTGACGCCCCGACGCAAGCGGGTGCCGGCAATCCCCAAGCTAGGCAAATCCATCTTCTTTGTGGCCCTGGACAGGACCGACGCGTACGTCTCCTCCCGCCCCTCCCCCTCAACCGTCAGTGAAACCACCGATTTAGAGGGGGGCTTGGCAGGAGGACATACCCGCCTCCCCCTCTGGGCGGAAGTGCCCGAGGGAGCAGCACCATCTTTAGAGGAGGCACGTCTAGGCCCACGCCTACGACGACGCCTCCCAACCTTTTTGGAGGACCCGGGACCAGGGACATCCGCCAAACCTCCGCAGAAGCGGAAGCGGCGGAGCTTCCGGCCACGGGACCAGACCCCGGCACACCAACGCCACCTCCTGTGCTCGCCAAGGGCACACCCATGGAAATCCCTCCAGATGGAGAGGCCCCAGACCGCCCCACGAGCAAGGGCCTCAAATTGGTTAGAACTGCCGACGTGATGTCAGCCCTCAGGCCGGCAAACCTCCTGTCGAGGATGGCCGAGAGGTCCGCAACCGTAAGAGGGTGCGACCCCGGCAGCCCCTCCTCACGCTTTGTCTCGTCTTTTGTGGATTCCGGAGAGGCTTCCACACGTTTCCTCTTCTTCGGGGCCTTCTTCAGTATCCCATAGAAGGCCGCATCATCCAACTGTGGCATGACAGCTCGGACAGCAGCTATCTCGCCAGCCACCCTGTCACGCTCCCGCTCGAAAGCCGAAATCCTCTCCCTAAGCCCCAGATTTTCGCTCCGGAGAGCTTCAATCTGGGGGTCAGCCTCGAGGACAATACGCCCCTTCATCTCGTGAAAGATGCTCTCCAGTCTCATCGAAGAGATCCGTAGATCCCTGGCCACGATTGGATCGAGACCAGAAACCTCGGCCGCCTTCTCCACTTGGGAAGCAGACACCTCCACCAACCTGCTGAGTTCCAGGTTGGTGACATTCCGCAGGCTAGCCCGGAAAGCCTCGCCTGACGGAATGTTCTCCGAACCTACCGCAGACAACTCAGGTCCAAGATTGGGGTCCAGGAGCCTGCGGATGTCCGCCAATTGGAGCTCTCGTTCAGTAGCCTGATTGAGACGCTCCTTGGCCTCAGCCAAACCAACATAGTCCCCGGTCTTTTTGGGACGACCCCGCGTTTCTTTTTTTGCTTTGGACGTACCTGGTTCTGCCCTCCTGGAGTACTGCTTTCGTCCGGTCAGCAGCCTCCTGTCTGAGGGCTGCCACTCCACGTCCATCACGTCCTCAGCTAAAGAAGGAGACGAGATGGAGAGGACAGAGGGTCCAGCAGCCTGCTGGTCCTCGTCTTCACTGGCCCCGCGCACTATCTCCGGTGACCGAAGGTGCTGTGAGCAGTCACTACCTGAACCCACTGGTGTACCCACCAAAGACTCTGACGCACATTTAGCGTCTGTCAGGTCCGTAGCGTCCACACACACGTGGGACACACAATACCGGGTCTGGCCGCGAGAACACCTGTTCAAAAACTCTCTGACATGCATCGCCAATCTGCGATACATGCCAAGAGGGCGAAAAACACTCACTTCTTCGTCCCGAAGGACTCGGCGAAAACACAGCGCGAGTTCCTTCGGATCGACACTTGGATCGCGTTCCTCCCAGTAGGTCACTAAGTCAATCAACTCTAGTTCGACCTCGTCGATTACACTTCTCGGCACTGTAGCAAATAAATCCTTGAACCCAGCCGGCAA